CCGGACATCGAATCTTGGATCCAGCGACTTTTTGACACACGCACTCCATCCTTCCGGAGTCGGTGAGCTGATACCATATTCAATCAAATGCCAGCTCGATCCAAAATGAATGCAGAGTGCGTGGCGCACGCCAGAAAGGCTCACCACGCCCATTGTTCCAAAATCTGGTCCTGCAGCTTTGCAATTTTGATCCAACATGAAAATTGAAATTGATAAAAATCGTATTCTTTATTTTCATAGTTTTCAGATCGGAAGAAAAGATCCAATAGGAGAACAATCGACACAGAAAAACATGACCGTAGCACGACGTGAACAAGCAAATCAAATCTATACAACATGCGACCGATGGACACTTGAACCCGGGAAAAAATAATAATTTTAATCAAAGATGAGTTTCTTGTGTAATAATCAAAATCAACTGGGACAGTTTTAAGTTACAACGAGACTGATATCGGAGATCAAAATATTAGAGTTTATACTCGTACTAAGAGTGCAAAAAGTCGCGAGCTCAGTGCTCAGTGATCGCAGCCTTGTTGGTGGTTCGGGTGACCTGCGAAGTTCCGTCGCAAAATTTCGTCTTGTAGAGCACATTCGCGTGGTTGAACATGCCTTCTTTCAAGGACACAATGATGAACTGCAAAACAAAATTCGTAAAACAAAATAAAGGCAAACATTTGGCGCAAAGAAGTACCCACATAAGCGACGAAATAATGAGAAGTTCGAATAGAACAAAAATTAGCTTGATTTTTTTCGACCCGTCTCTGTGGAAGACTAACGGCCTACCGGGTGGTCTATAGGTAGGCCCAATTGAGCCGTTGCCGCAGGTGACAAATTGCTCGCAATTTCCAATCAAGCGATGGCTGCGGCTGGAAACCGTGAGCCATCCATCAATCAAGGCTCAATGGGCTTGAACTCTATCTTTACTGATCCTTCCGCGGAGCCGGACTACAGGCCTATCTATCGTCTAAACCTGAAGGTACAAACAGTAAATAGGCCTGTGTTCCACCAGTGAACTCCAGCAGCAGAAGCCTCCATTCATCTGCTCTGAAGAAGATTCCACGAGAAGGTCGAAGGACGACGAACGGAAAATGTAGCTAGTGGAAGGGCAGGCGGGCCTCTTAAGGGTGCTGGGTGATGCTCACGCATGCCACCAGCGACCTAACAGGTATACCTGCGCACTGCCTACCGTCTGACCCTCGCCTTTCGGGTACCCCCCAGGAGGCCCGTCGCGCGGCAAGAAGGCAGAGTCGGCGGACGAGTTGCAGCGCGTGATGTGCGATGTAGGACGTGCAATGGGACACTCTTTTAACTTGACGCGAAATCCCTATAGTACGCGCGCGACTCGTCCGCTGACTTTGCCTTCTTGCCGCGCGACGGGCCTCCTGGGGGGTACCCGCCTTTCAGCAGAGACAAGCGTTGAAGAGGCGAGCCACGAAGAGTATTCGCATAATGAGGAAATTGAGGGCAAAAATGGGCCTCACAAACTCGGTTCTGGTCCGATTCGCATAGTTTCCTTCATTCTGTATCACTGACCACTCCTAACTTGATGTTAAGGCGGGCATGCCTTCTATCATTAAAATTCGCCATCTTTTTCTAATTGAATCAAACTGGCTAGGGAGAAGGACATTGATTATTAACGTTGCAATATATAATAGTAAGACATTGAATCGGAGAAACCCTATTGAAAGCATGGCGACCCCGAGGTACGCATCGGCTTTTTTTACTTGATTACGCGTGTAGGCAACTCAGACGCTTACAATAGCATATTTTCAGAAGATTTGGACAAAACACGGCTATTAAGCCCTCAGCTATTTATCACTAGCCGGCAAACATCAATCCGTGCGAGAGATGTGCGCCCGCCCCGCATTGTTCACGGCTTCTTATGCTTGAATATCATCCACTACCGTTCCTATCTTCATAAGGCTTTACCACTCACTCATAACCCACCCCACTCAATGCTCTATAATTACTCGTTTTAGGCCTTAGGTTGAGCAATGAGCGCAAGTGTTCACATCATTCAGGCCAACTAGCTTGTACCACGAACAGGATTCGCTTCTTGCAACTACCAAGTAATTGTAATTCACTTCGCTTCCCTAAGCAGCCTAATCCAGTCTAAACGTATTTCTGCGGACATAAACTGTTTCTGACATACCGTGTGTCACTTCATTGCCGCGTGCACAACCCCGCTCAGTAACGAGTCTCGCCTCCAATTTACATCGATTATTAACAATGAGTTTGTTGTGACTCGCATTATAGAGCTCCGCATAGAGCTCTGCCACAGCCTGCGATTTTCTGGTAGCGGCGAAGACATGGCGCACTTCTATGATTTGAGCCCGCCACAAATGTTTTTTTTCGTCATTTAGACTCTGTAGTGGTTATTTTTCAAATATTCCAACATCTATTTCACACATCTGTCGTTCATAATTTCGTTATGCATTTTCATCCTCCCAGTTGAAAGAAAACAAACTGATATAGAACCTCCCATTACTAAACCTGGTCAAACTAACTTGTGACAAGACAAAATGCTAGTATGGCTCGTGGTGAAAGTGTTTTTTGATCATGTGCCCAATATTCTGCGTATGCGATAGGTCCAAAGCTGCATCGACCTCATCCAATATATAAATCGGAGCCGGCCTGAACTTCAACATGGCCAACACCAACGACAGAGCAACAAGAGAGCGTTGTCCTGAAAAGAAAAAACACCCGTTATAAATGATAAACAATTCCCCGGCGCGCCCGGAAAAGCCATACTGGCGCGCCTGACATGTATAGATTTTTGCTAGTCCACCACGCTTTCTCCCCTTGCCAATCCAAGCTGAATAATTTGGCAGAAAAAATTTGCCTAAAAAGGCGTCCTCATGCAATCAGATTCAATTTACGAGTGAAAAACAAGTTTTTTGACTTCCGTTGCTCCTTAATTTCCTTTCAATTTCTACGAGTTTTTGCGGCTTTTCAAATAAGGCCAACTGTTTGGTTATCAGACATTTTACAGAATCAATCCTGCCATCCCACGAAATTTCGTTATCTTCTAATAGTATTAAATATAGTATTGAGTGATTAAAATCTCGACAAACCTTCACAATTGAGCAATAAGTAAATAAATAAATAAAAATCAACATTTGATTGAAGATTCAAACCCCCCCCAGCTCGCCCGGATCCTCCTTACCTCCTGATAGTTCCTGGAGGGAATCTTTCCATTTGTCATTGAATGCCACTTTTACTTCAAGTCCTTGCTCAACGGTTTTTCCAGCAGGCGGTTCAACTTTGGCTGAGGCACCAGGTAACAGCGTGGAGAAGATATTGCCAAAATCCTTGAAAATAATAATTTTATTTGTATTTTTTGAACTCGTAAAAAACGAATATCCTTACTGTGGTACTACTAAAAAATTACGTGTATGTCAAAAAGCACCTACTCGATTAACTTGGGCATGAGCTTTGTGGATCTCTTGCGTTTTCTTGATATCCAATAAAGCTATGTGTCCAATAACTTCTTCTTATCAATCGCTATTTGCTCTTTTTTGCTTCAATCACGAGCACCTTGAAATGTTCAGATACAGGCTAACACTCCCCGGTAAAAATCGGCCTGAAGAAAGAATTTTACCTTGTTCTCCACCTTGAACAGCACCCCAATCGCACTGATGTTTACAGGATTTTTGCCCATTATGTTTTTTCTTGCTTTCATGTCTGCTATCTCCTTTGCTGCTTTCTCCTGCGTGTATCTGGAATAGTAATACAATAATTTTATTTACACTATTGTTGGGCGGAAGTGGTGTAGTGGCAAGTGGCACGCTTACCACGCGAGCGGTCCGGGGATCAAATCCTGGGTCGTGAGTCGCCCGGGCCAACCAAGCCTTCCATCCCTCCGGGGTCGGTTAATTGGTACCAGACTTGTCTGGGAGGATAAAAACACTGACTTGTACATCGGCTGGCCCCCGCAAGTCATTGTATAGGCCACATCGCATTCAAACGCCACTACGAATGTACAAATGGAAGTAGAATGCGTGCCGCATCCCAAAAAGGGATTGATCAACGGCAAATGCTTTATCCTTTATCCTTTAACTTGATAAAACTATTCCTATACCCACCAAACAATAAAGCAATTGTTGATTAGGACAGAGGTACCCTCTATTTTAAAAACCAGAAGCGCGTCGAGTGCAGACCACACACCACAAGTGACGACGGCCTCCACAAAATGTAAATGTTTTCTGCCAATGAAATGATTAGCCTGTTGCAGTTGTATTCTATCAGTTGTCACTAATTACAACTATCATTTACCAACTATCAGCTATCACTATGAATCACTAGTTACCAGATTACTTGGAGGCCGTCGTCACTTGTGGTGTGTGGTCTGCACTCGACGCGCTTCTGATTTCTCGGAACAGAGGTAAATAATGATTTTGACTTGTTTTTCAACAATTGCCCGGAAAGCAAAAGGTGCGGCTTCGATTCCCGTCTGGGGTGCAAGTTTTGCTCACAACCCAGCATTCTTGAGAGGTTAATACAATATGTTTCACCATCAGCTTTTATGATAAGGTGATATCAAAATTGAGTTCAATTCAAAAGCTTTGATCAACAAAGCACAACTCGATCCTTGTGGAACCTCAGCACCATTTTGAGGTGTTTCTTGTGTCTCGGGTTGTTTAGGAGGAAAACTTTTATTGAGCTAACTTTTCGACCAGATTGTCTCTCAGTGTCAGTCGCAGTAAGTTTACTTTTTCGTCTTTTTGGTTTGTCTTTTCTTCTCTTGCTCTTACGTTTATGAGCCGGGTCTAGAGAGACGAACTGATCGAAATATCGGGCCAATAATTTTCCACCTAGGATCTCTACGGCACAAGAAAAACATCAAAATTGGAGCCCTGATTTAAAAAAAAAGGGAAAGAAAAGAAAAGCCTTAAAGGGCAGAGTTTTCGAGCAAACCAGGTAATGTCCGTATCCCGCGGCCAGGCATTTTTTGATAAGTTTTATTCTAGGCGAAGAATTGGAAGAAATCCATTCACGCCACAATAGCACTGGCTATGGGATAGCCCCTAGAAATGGAAGAAGGGAGGAAGAGGAATGTAAATCGCTTAATATATTTTTTATTACACGTCGCGATTGCACTACATATAGTATGTATAGGGAAGAAAGAGGCTTGCACGGCCATGGAAATCAGACAGAAGTCGACAACAGTTAGGAGTGTGGTCCAATTTTAACAACCCGAGAAGGTACAGGTAATGAATCGTAGATTTGCATATTTGTGAAATTTCAGTTTTCGATAAGGTCCAATCGCCTCTCGTCCCTGACCAGCCTATTCAAAGAGGCCTGTCGAATCATAAACTCGGATTTCGGCAGGGCTCGTAATCGTGCTAGAATCAAATAAGTTAACCGATGCTGATATCAAAGATTTGCTGCGAATAAATGATGTGATTTCAATCGCAAATATTCAAACCCGTAAGAAAGGCCTAAAAGAACCAATCAACTCTCCTACAGAGCAGAAAATAATCACAAAATAAGCTCATGTAGTAGAGCGTAGCAAGAGTAACAATCCGAATTCTCTACGTGCTTAGGAAGATAGAAAATATGAAAAATGACATCAATTGTAAAAAAAAAAACGTAAGAAGCTCATAGTAAAGAACAAATCGGCCCGGAAATGCTGTTACTTCAGCAGTAGGCCAAAGAATCCCGCAAAAGAGGCTAAACCAGCGCTAAACTCGACAGCGGACACGGAGCGAATGCGTTATGAGCGGTACGAATCATCACTTTACACCATCATGTATCGAATCGGGTTGAGCGAAAACTACCTGAAATTGTACTTAAATCAGATCAGATAACAGAACACATTATCAAAGAAACAACCCC